AAAAAAAAAAAAGAAAAAAAAAACAAGAGGGGTTGGGAAGTTTAGCTTACTTGGTCCTCTTTGTCTGGCTTTTTCAAGCCTATAATAGATTTCACCCATTTCCCTGAAGCACCCATTTGAGTTGTCCTGCTTCAAGTTGCTAATTTTCAAAGTAAAAACAGTTCCTTTTTTTTTTCTTTCCTTTTTTGGAGAGAGATGAGAAGATGGTTCTCAAATGGGACCCCAATAAACAAGAAAAGAACAGAACTTGGTAAGAGAAAAAAGGATTTTTGAAAGAAACAGAACTTTAATGGAGCTCAAAGGAGAAGACTTTCTTTGTAGGAAGAGAACACTGAAAGCTAGAACTTGAAAACCATAGAACAATGAAACACACAGAAGAAAAAAATGGTGCAAGCAAACAGAACCTGAAACTGAGAAAGAGATGGGGAGGAAGACGTGGAAGAGTGGAGATGGACATGTTCCCTCAAAGTCAAAATCTTAAGAACCGTTTGATATTTGAAATTCAAAATAAACAAGGGACAAAGCAAAGGACTCATCACCACCCCGCCAGAATTCCTATGTGTGTGCACTGTGCAGTAATAAGGCCCACCATTTCTGGGGAAGGTAGCATAAAAAGGCACGTTCCCTTTGTTTTTGTACATGAAAAGATGAAAAGGAACAGCAGGAAATCCCGACAAAGGGATCTCTACAGTCAGTGCATTTAAAGATTTGGTTTTTCCTGCAGCAGTTTTTGAAGCCCTGTTACATTTTTTAATATATTTTTCTGACTTTCTGCAACAGGGTTGGACTGTTCTTTGGTTGGTGCCATATGCAGTCAGTGACTCAGTGCATCTGGTTGGTGCCATATGCTGAATTGCTGATCAAATTTCAAATTTGATGGTTCAAATTCGTTTTCTTAGTTAGAATTTCAATTTCAATCTAGTGCGTAATGACTTTATAAAATATTTAATTTTAAATTTTAAATTTAAGTTTTTATTAATTGAGATACTATTTGCTGTATTTATAACATGAAGCATGTGATATCTTTTAAAAAACAGAAGGAAGGTAGAACACTTTGTCGACATTCAAGATTCAACTAAAAAGGTTGGCGGGTGTAATTTAATTTTACTGTCCTGTTTTGATTGAAGAAGTTGGAGAGTGAGAGGGGAGAGAGTATTTTTTTTTTTTTTGAATAAATAATTTTAATGAAAGAGAAGGAGATGAAAGGAGGCAAAATTCTTCTCTTTTTTATTTTTAATCTTTTTGATTTAAAAGAATTAAGATGAATTATATTATCTAATTTATTTTTATTTTTAATTTTTTAAGAATAAATATATATAAATATTTTATTTTAATTATTTATTTAACTAATAAATTTTACATATTTTATTTATTTTATTTTATTTTTTATTAAATTATTTAATTAAATAAAAATATTATCCTTCTCCCACCTTCACCTTTGTCTATCCAAATAAAATTAATATTAATTTTTCTTTTCATTTCACTTTTCCTCCTTTTCTTTTTTTTTTTACTAATTTTTATCCAAATATAAGCTTTGTTTGCCTAAAAACTAACGACGGAAAAGGAAGAAAAGAGGAAACAAAAAAGAAAGAAATTGATTATTGTAAATTTTATTTGAAGAGACAAAGTAAAGAAAATCTGTGAATAATATTTTATATAATTAAATAATTTTAAAAAATAGAATGAAATATTTTATTTTTATTAATGAAATAAATACTTAAAATAAAATATTTATTTATTTAAAAAAAATTAAAAAATTAAATATACAAATCAAATCTATTACAATATCCTCAAATCAAAGAGATGAAAAATAGAAGAGTGAAGTAAATTTCAACACTTTTTACCTGGTTTTTCTTTATTGATCAAATCCAAATAAGAGAAATGATATATTTTTTCTTCATTCTCATCTCATTCCTTTTTAGATCCCTTAATTCAAACTCACTGTTGAGATTCAAATTGCCTGTAAAGACAAATAAGTATTGATTTTTGAAATCATTTGTCTAGTACCCAACTCAAGGTCAATGAGGCATTTAACTTATAGTTATTGATATCATATTGTACCTATAGATATGGTCGATACACATCGATTTTTGTATTAAATCGAAATGATATATAATCTAATTTCATTTCGGTTAAATTTTATTCATTTTGGTCAAATTTTGATGTAATGACTGATATTTCAGCGTATTAACTGATACACGAGAATTGACCTATACAACTCAATTCAAATTAAAAAAATGGTAAATTTTATTTTTAGTCCCAATTTTAATGTTTTACATAATTTTCATCCTTTAACTTTTTTATATATTTTTTTAGTCCTTATATTAATTACTCCGTTAAATTTATCTAAATATACACATTTTTGGTCCCTTAACTTAAAGTATAAAGACGAAAAATATGAATTTATTAGAAGTTGAGGGATTAAAAATAGTTATTTTAAATTTGTTTTCAATTTATAGGAATATGATAATTTTAAATATTAATATATCTTATTTTATTTTAAAATATGATATTTAATTTATAAAAATATATATTTATAATGATAAATCCGAAACGATACATGAAAAATTTCAATATCTAATACATACCATTCCAATAGCAAAATCAATACGCATGTCAGTAGCTGATCAAAAAAAAAAAAAAAAATATGATTTTCTTTTGACACGATCTCCAATGTAAGATAGGGATGATATTTTAAAATATGATATTTAATTTATAAAAATA